GCACGTCAACACCAGCTTCTACCGGTAGGGATGGATGGATGGATGTACTATGGGGACTTGAGGTATGGTGGAGAGAGGCTGCCAGTGAAGGGGTGGAGTTGTAGCAGGGGGCATAGGGCACATGGCCATGCCTGTGTCCCCTTCCTCGGGGCTTCAGCTTGGGCTCAGCAGCAGTCAGGGGCTGTGGGATGCTCCCCTGCTTCGCCTTGTGCAGCATGGGTGCAGACATAGGAGAGCCGAGCCTTATGCTGAGCTATAAATACAGCCCATAATGAGCCCCTGCCGGTGCCAGGCGTCCTGTAATCCTGCCTGGGCACGCAGTATAGCAGAATTTGGCACAAGATTGTCACTCAGGAGAGAACCCCACCATGCAGTGGAGTGCCAGGGAAGGCAGGGATAGGGGCGCAGCTGTGCTGAGCCCCCAAACCTCCTGGCTCTGCTCCTTGCAGGAAGCTCTGGAACATGAAGCTGAAGGACCCCAACTCCAGGTAGGGCTCAGCCCTGGGCAGGGAGCACCAGCACAGGAGCCCTCTCCCAGAAAAATCTTACACTTCTTCCCGCTGCTCTCCTTTGGCAGCCTGAGGAACCTGAGCCAGAAGAGCAGTTTCTGGGTGCACCGTGTGCAGTGCCAGGGCACAGAATCTCATCTGTCACGCTGCCCCACACAGCTGGCTCCGCCAGCCCTCAGCCAGCATGCCTGCCCCCGCGGCATGCATGCCATCGTCAGCTGCGTGCCCGGCCCTGCCTTCCAGCAGGGCAAGAACAGGGGCAAGAAACCTCCCCGCAAAGTCTCCCTGGGAAAGGTGAGCCCTGGCACGGTCCTGTGCCCCAACCCCAAGGCAGGCACCCAGGGCCAGGCAGCACCCACTGAGTGCCTGCTCCTCCTTCCAGGGTCTTCCTGTGCGCCTGCGAGCTGGTGCCCACGCTGGTGAGGGCCGGGTTGAGGTGCTGCGCCACGGGCAGTGGGGCACCGTGTGCGGCCGACGCTGGGACCTGGCAGCAGCCAGCGTGGTGTGTCGGCAGCTGGGCTATGGCACAGCCAGGGAGGCGCTGCTGGGAGCACAGATGGGTCAAGGTGAGGTGGATAAAGGGCAAGGATCCCCTCCCCCAGACACTCTTGTCCCCCAGTCTGGGGGTGTGCAGGGGGATCCAGATTGGGCACAGAGGCAGGAGTGCTCCCTCTGCTCCAGGCCTGGGGCCCATCCACATGAGTGAGGTGCGCTGCATCGGCCACGAGCGCTCCTTGGCTGAGTGCCGCTTCCAGGACGGTGAGCAGAGTGGGTGCCGGCATGATGACGATGCGGCCGTACGTTGCCATGTGCCCCACATGGACTTCCAGAGCCAGGTGAGCCCCCGCCCCACTATACAGCCCTCCACACAGAGACCCATTGCACAGCCTCTCCATGTGGAGCCCTTAGCCCTCTTCCTGCTGTGGATGCTTGGAGCAGCCTAAGGAGATGGGGACAAGTAGAGCAACTCAAGCCACACTGATGTGGGGTCTGTAGGACACGCTGAAAGTGGTCATGTGGCATGAAGGATGCACAGGGCTTCCTGCCCCACAGCAGCCCTGTCCTAGCCTCTCTCTGCACACAGGTGCGCCTGGCCGGGGGCCGCAGCCCTGAGGAGGGTGTTGTGGAGGTGCTGGTGCCAGTGCAGGGCAGGCTGCAGTGGGGCGCAGTGTGTGGAGCTCAGTGGGGGCTCAACGAAGCCATGGTGGTCTGCAGGCAGCTGGGGCTGGGCTTTGCCAGCCATGCCCTACAGGTGAGCATCGTGAGTGTGCCGGGATGTGTTGGCATACAAGACAGCCTTGTGGCACATGGGTTCAAGCCCTGGTAGTGGTGCTGGGAGCTGGCGGGGCAGATGAGGGCTGATCTGAGCATTGTGTCTCCCTCTGCCAGGAGACCTGGTACTGGGCAGGCAGCCCCGATGCCTCTCAGGTGCTGATGAGTGGAGTGCGCTGCACGGGCACAGAGCTGGCCCTGCAGCAGTGCCAGCGCCATGGCCCCGTGCACTGCCCCAGTGGTGGGGGACGCTTTTCAGCAGGGGTCACTTGCACCACCCGTGAGTACCCAGAGATGCCCATCCTCCTGGTGAGACCCAGATCTGCACAGAGCAGGGGGTGGCAGTGTAGAGGCCACCGGCTCTGTTTCCTCTGTGCCAGATGCCCCGGATCTGGTGATGAACGCCCAACTGGTGCAGGAGACAGCTTACCTAGAAGATCGCCCGTTGGGGCTGCTGTACTGCGCCCATGAGGAGCGCTGCCTGTCCCGCTCTGCTGACACCATGCAGTGGCCCTACGGCCACCGCCGCCTGCTCCGCTTCTCCTCCCAGATCCACAACCTGGGCAGGGCTGATTTCCGACCCCGGATGGGACGGCACGCCTGGACCTGGCATCAGTGCCACCGGTGAGACTCCCATATCCTGGAGCCAGGCTGGGCACTAGAAGATCCATGCAGCTCCGTCCCCCTTGACTGTGTTCCTCCTACACAGCCCCCATCTTGGCAGAAACTGTCCCGCCCAGAGTAATTAGCAGCATCCGGGCCGGCACTGTCATTAGGGCTTTATTTGGATGCAAGGCTGTAATTTGTGCAGAGCTGCTCTCCTCTAGGTGCTGCCCGTCCTGCCCTGGCCCCACTCACCCCCTGTCCCTACAGGCACTTCCACAGCATCGAGGTCTTCACCCACTATGACCTGCTGACGCTCAATGGCTCCAAGGTGGCTGAGGGGCACAAAGCCAGCTTCTGCTTGGAGGACACCAACTGTCCCGAGGGTAGGTGGCACCAGCAGTGGTGCAGAGCAGCACCCCCGGACCCGCCATCCCTTATGTTCCTCCTCTGTCCCCAGGACTGCAGCGTCGCTTTGCCTGTGCCAACTTCGGGGAGCAGGGGGTGAGTGTGGGCTGCTGGGACACCTACCGGCATGACATTGACTGCCAGTGGATCGACATCACTGATGTGCCGCCAGGCAGCTACACCTTCCAGGTATGGGCTTGGAGGGACCCCACGTTGGGAGAGGAGGGCTGGGCACCTTTGGCAATGCTGGCACAGAGGTGTGGTGCAGCAGGCAAGGTACCCCCACCCCAGTTGCTCTTTGCCCTCCCCAGGTGGTGGTGAACCCCAAGCATGAGGTGGCTGAGTCAGACTTCTCCAACAATGTGCTGCGGTGCCAGTGCAAGTATGATGGGCAGCGTGTCTGGATGCATGGCTGTCACACAAGTAAGGAGGGTGGGAGTACTGGGGGGTGACCACACGGAGGGTGCCATGTGTCCTGACCCTACCAACACCTCCGCTCTCCCCAGGTGATGCCTATGGTGCTGATGTGGTGAATGAGATGGAGCGGCGTGAGCGCCTGGCCAACAACCTGGTGTAAGACCCCATCTCTCCCCCGACCCCACACCCAAGGGCACTCCAGCTCCTGCCCTGGCTGCAGCAGCACCTGCCTGAGCTCAGGGACTCGACACCTGCCCTATTTATTTCTTCTGCCATGGAGGATGGAGATGAGCATCACGGATGGTACAGGGGCCAAGCCCCATGCTGCCGGGGGAACCCCAGCTCCAGTGCTCAGCTGCCCCCCCCGGACAACTACCTCACCTGCCTGGCCCCAGGCACTGCCACTAGTTATGTCCTCAATAAAGGTGCTGTGCAAGGGGACAAGGGTGCTGTGTGGTGATATGGAGTACCCTGCTAACCCCCAGACCAGTTCCCATGCTGCCCTGTGGGGCTGGTGCCAGACAGCCTCAGCTCCTGGCCAGCAGTACCCACAGGCTGGGGCACCTTATCCCTGACCCAGCTGACCCTATACACAGCAGGGCAGCCAGCTCTGCGGCAAAGTGGGCCGGCAGCCAGCCCTCAGCCGCCACTGTGCAGCCCATGCTGGGCTTTCCCAGGCTGTTCCTGGCAGTTCCCTGTGTCCCTAGAGCATGGATGGAACAACTTTGCCCCTGGAAGCCCTTGCTCATGGGGACAGGGTGGGGACACAGAGAACATGCCCTTGCTCTGTTTCTTTCCCCTTTTAAAGGAAATAAATGAGAATCCTATCTGACAAGCCACCAGGTGCTGTCACCCCCTCCTGCCTGCATACCATCCCCACCCCCACGCACCAATGCAGGACATAGATAAGGCTTCTATCCCCTGCCTTGCCCCGTGCAACCAAGACTGGTCCCCACGTGCTAGCTCCGGCACGTGGAGGGGCCACGAGACAGTAGCCCCAAGTGCAGCCCGTGGCAAGGCATGTGCTGATGGTGGCTCATTGCGCCAAACCGCTGTGCTCACTGCCGGACAGCAGAAAGATGCTTTCCATGTGAGAGTATCCTCTCACCCTGAAACTTTCCGCTGTCTGGGCCACCTGGCTGAGACAGAGCCCAGCTGGCAGCAGGGCCTGCAGCCGCAGCACAGGGTCGTGACCAGTTCCTCTAGCACTGCGCTGGGGACATCCAGGGGACATGGAGTGGCCAGGGCAAGGCAGAGGTGACACGTGGCACTGCTCCACACTTGCTGCTGAGGGCATGAGAGCCCCACAAACGATGGCCCTAAGAGTTCTGGGTTTGGCAGGACAGGCTCTGTGCCCTGCAGGTGATACAGGGGGGAGTATGGGGTGGTGAGGTGATAGAGCGCCACAGCCCTAGGGCAAAGGCAGCTCCCAGCTGCCCACACCACTCCCGGGGGCAGGGCAGGAAGCCCCCGGGTGGGGAGCGCAGCCCACATCACAGCCTAGAGCCCGCTCAGGGCTGGCCCTTCCCACAGTCAGACAAGGATTGCGCTGTTCAGGGTGGCGGATGTAAACAGGGTCCCTCTGCCAGCACATTCCAGCCCTTCCCCAGGCCATCCTGCCCAGCCCACCCTGGAGGGGAAACCCCTGCCTTGAAGTTGAGCACAGTATGCACACCGCCCGGGCACCCCCAAGTACATGGACATGCACTGCAGCTGCAGACGATGCTCTCAGCTAGCAGGAAAAGCCCTGCATCCCACAGTGCTGCATCCCCCCTTCGGAGGCAAGGCAAAGCAAAATAAATGGTATTTATTAACAAAATAAAGGACATTCTCACTCACAACGCTCAGGGTGGCCATGGTGACCACACAGCATGTGTCACCATAGCCCTGGGGACAGCCTTGGGACACCGTGGCATGCCCCTAACCGGCCCTCAAGCACCCTGCAGCTGTGCCCCAGCCCCTCTCCTGTGTGCCTGCTCCACCTAACACAGAGCCCACAGGGCAGCAGCACCAGCTCCATCCCCAGGTGCAGGTGCCCCTGGCAGCATCGCCAGCACCATCCCACTGCAGGACGTTCATTCCCGGCCTTCCCAGGCATCCTCCCGCTGCTTGTTCTCCAGGCGCTTCCTCTCTGTGGGGAAAAAGAGTAAATGCCAAGCCACCATTTCCCCCGGCCGTATGGTCTGAGATGAATGACGTGGCACAGAGAGGTTCCCTGAGCTCACCCCGTGCCTCTTGCAGCTTCCTGCGCTCGGCGTCCCGCTGGGCAGGGGTCTGACTGCTGCGCACCCCCAGGGCACCGATGACCAGGCGCCGTGCCAGTGCTGCTGACGTTTCGGGGCGCTCCTTGGCTGGCTGCAGAAAGTCTGAGGGGGGTGCGAAGGGGGTGTCATCATGGGGACCCCAGTGGGAAGCTGGCATGGCACCAGTCGGGGTCCCAGGGTACTGGGGTGCCCATGGTGCGGAATCTTCCCATTGTGCCCCCACTCACCAGCATATGCCCTCGCCTTGGCTTTGGCTGCCCGTGTGCCCTGGGACAGCGGTCGAGTCTTCACCATCAGGTGCTTGGTGCTGAGGGCATCAAGCGCTGCAGGGAGAGCAGCACAGTGCCATGCAGCCAAGGAATGCACACACGTGGTGCCCTTCACCCACCCACTGCATACCCCATGGGATGCTTGCAGTACCTGTGATGGGACTGGAGAAGATGCCCAGAGCATGAGTATCGTCCACCCACTTGATGTCAAAGCCCTTCTTCCTGATGGAAAGACGGAAGGTGAGCACAGCACCATGGCATTGCATGGCATGGCATTGCCACAGCACCGTGGCATTGCATGGCACTGCCACAGCACCATGGCATTGCACATTGCCGTGCACTCACTGGTAGCTGCAGAAGATGCGCAGGAGGTCCTCGGTGCGGAAATCCGGGGGGAAGTCATAGATCTCGATGACGTGGGGCAGCTCAGCGTCACTGAGGTCCGGCACGGCCGGCTCAGCCCTGTAGTAGTTGAAGCGGGGCTCCTGCAGGCTCTGCCGGTGCTCCGGGCCCCCAGAGAGCTGCGGGGACAGAGATGGCGCTGAGCGACCCCCACCCGGTGCTGGGAGCCCATAAATCCCAGGTGCTCCCTTGGGGATGTCCTGCCCCAGTGCCGCACACTGGTGCTCCACTAGATTAATGGCAATGAGTATTGGGAGATATCAAGCAGGGCTCACACATTTTCCCATTGCTCTTTTCCTATTACAAGCATCCCAGTGAGACACGGATACGTGCTGGCCAGGTGTAGGGTACCCAAAATCCACTTGAGAGCTGCAAAACCAGGGAGAAGCCACACGTCTGCTTGCACTACAGGAGCCCAGCAAGTCCCCATCTCCACAACGGAAAATCAGCACTCCCCAACAAGCCAGTTCCACGAGTTCAGCACCTGCGCTGCCAAAAATTGGTGCCTTATTTCTAATTTGAATTTGTCTGGGTTTGGTTTCCAGCTGTTGTTTCTTGCTCTGCCTCTCTGCTGGACGGAAGAGCCGTTGGTCGGGGTGACAGCACTGCTTGCAGTAATCGCGTCACTTCCCAACCTGCCCCTCAACAAACCAAGCAGGCTGTGCTCATTGAGCATCTCACAGTCAGGCATTTCCTACAGCTCTAAAACACGATGGCTGTAACTCTTTCCTACCTCTCCAATTTTTCACCCTTCAGTTTGAAATATGGGCGTCCGTTTCCCCCTGCCAACATCACAACTCTGGGGGGGGAGGGGGAGGAGGGCACACAGCTGCCAGCAGCACCGGTGCCAATGGGATTCCCAAACATGCCGTGCTGCAAGGTGTGGGGCTGCGGGCACATAACTCAGCCAGGTCGCCAGCCCGATCCCCCAAGTGATCGTAGCTGAGCGCACCACGGCTGGAAGGTTAGAGCCCATAAATCTCAGCCAGCTCAGTCAATAAAAAGTGCTCGTTCCAACAATTTTATGGAGCAGATGGATTCATGGGCAGGTGAGGACAGAGGGGACAGCTGAGTTACAGAGCTGGCGGGGCAGCCCAGCACCACTCGGGATCATTTCCCACTCCAGGCAGCTGCACACACTCACTGGGGTCCGGCACCCCGCAAAACCCCAAGCAGGATGGAGCCTGTGCAATGCCCCAGGGGGCATGGGACTGGTGAGTGGAGCCCATGACCTTCACAAATCACTGAGTGTGGCGAGGATTGGGGCACATGCATCACCACCACCAGTGTGAGGACCGATGGCAGTGCCGTCCCTCGCAAGCAACACCCACCATGGCTGCAAGGAAATCATTCCCGTGGTTAATTACCCTCCACTGATTTCCAGTCTGAATCCGTCTGGCTTCAGCTTGCAGCCAGTGGATCTGGGGATGCTTTTTCTTGCTAGATTAAAGAGCCGTCTGCTATCAGAAATCTCTTCTCCTTGCAGAACGTCATAAATCTTGCTCTCTGCCAGCTCTCCGCAGCGCATAAGGATTCGGTTATGACAAAGAACACTACTAATTTCCTTGTCCTTTTTGTTAATTAACAACAGCTTCATCTCCCCGGCGGACGCGTCTGCCTCCCAGCAGCACAAAGGCGTGGGGAAGCCACCAGGAACAGGGGTGGAAGGGTGAAAATGGCCACTTCCCATTGAGAAATCCCCTTTTCAGGTCCTTATTCACCTATCTGGGGAAGCTCCCTGGAAACCCAACCTTTTTTTGAGCACCTGAACGGGGCATCCAACAAGGGAGCTCCAGAGCTCCCCACTGAACAAATTACCTGCAACACCTCTCGGCCACACGGCTGGCAGGAACAGAGGATCACCAAGGCAGCGTGCGCAGCCCCAAGCAGCTCAGAAGACATGGGATGAACTCAAGAGGGGCACTGAAACCCCAAATCCTCCCATACGCTATCACCAGGCACCATCTGCCACTTCACACCCCGCACTGTGTCAACGCTGGACGTCCGTTTTTGACAATATTAGTGCTGTTTGTTACTCCAGCTACATTAATGTCGCTCCAAAAATTACTCGTTTTTATGCCACTGATTTAAAATGCAATAATGGATTTCCAGCCTGGCTGCAAAAAGATACACTTTCCTCGCGAGCAGTGGGGAAGCGGCACGGCTCCCAGCGCTGTGCTGCTCATTGTAGTAAATCCAACCCCACGCCTACAGGAGGGGATGGTAATGAGCCACAGCTGATTAAGAAGCTGTAGTTTTCAGGAAACTTCACGTTGCTATTTCAATGGGAGCCCATCCGTCTCGGCCCGTTTCTTTATTACTGGCCCTGCTTTCACGAGGGTGCTGTTGCAGTTTATGGCTCTTGAGCATGTTCTACTGATTGCACTTTACATACTGGTAAGGGGAAGAACTCCCCCAGCCTTGCTGGCACCAAGCGGGGCCCAGAAGCACCCTCATGGCACTGCTCACACCATGCACAACTGGAGGTGATGGCTCACGCATGGGCTATGCACCGTGGGGCTTATCCCACTGGTCATGGGGACAGCTACACCCCACACACTCCATCCCTAACATCCCAGCAGGACACACCCCAAGGACAGAGCATCCCCACACACGTACCTCCTCCAGCAGGTGTGGGTCCAGGCAATCCCCATCATCATTGAACAGCGCATCCCAGCTCTCTGCGCCGCCTGGGCTGCTCGGGGTCCCAGCACCAGGCTGATTTGGCTTTAGGGAGCTGCCATGGGGACATCCCTCCTCACCCTCCTCCTCCTCCTCCTGGTGCTGTTGCTGCCAGCCTTTGTCCTCATCTGCTTGTGTTGGTTCCTCAGCCCAGGATCCAGACGAGAGCTGCTCCATGCCGTGGCACAGCAGCTCAACGGGTTTCAGGGCCAGGGGTCTGTCCAGGGGATCCCCTTCCCCGGGGCCACTTTCTGTCCCCTCAGCACAGCTCATCTCATCACCAGTTCCCAAATCATTGCTCCTATGGGGCGCAAGAACACTCTCCCCTCCATCGTGTCCAGCACCAGAACTGGCCTGCTCCTTGCTGGGCGGCAGCTGCTCCTCATGCTCTGGCAGGAGCTGGGATGTGCTGTCCATGTCCCAGCCCTCACCCTGCCCTGCAAGGACAGATTCATCACACTCCCTCTTCTCCTCATGGCTTTTCACACTCTCCCAGCTGAGCCTGGGTACGCTGCCCACATTTCCCCCTCCTGCCTGCTGCAAGGCACCCTGTTCTGTGCATCTCAAGCACTCCATAGATGCACCCAGAGAGCTGTGACCCAGGAGCTCCGTCACATTGCCCAGCTCTGTCCGATGCACCACGCTCTGCTCAGCTGCCATTACATCATCAGGATCTCCACCATGCTCAGGGACAGATGCAGGATGGGCGCCCAGAGTGTCCGGCACCGTCCTCAACCCATGGCTGCGCTCCCCAGGCCCTGCATCCCAGGATTCTTTGCCTGAGGGCTGCGCAGCAGCTGGCTCCACGCTTGGCTCCTGCACATCGGGCGATACTCCCACTGCCTGTCTGTCCCCAGCAGAGGCTGCCCGTGGCTCCTTGGCCCTGGCCTTGCTCTCCCTGCCAGCCTCTTTGCCCACGTGTGTCCTGGTTCCAGGGCTTCGCCTCTGCCCCTCAGAGCCACCCCTGGGGATGTCTTGTGCCAGGTGCAGCTTCTCAGGCTCCCGGTGGCTGGCGGCTGCCGCTTGTGCCGCTCTCTCCCGCCGTGCTTTGGGCACATAGAGGGCCATGTCGGGCTTCCTGCGGCGCGCCCGGCTGCCCTCTGCCTCCATTGTGCCACCACCGCCTGCAAAGGAGAGAAGTGTCACCACCACTGTGCCCAAACCGCAATGGTGCCAGTGTGATGCGCATCGGGATGTCCTGGCAAAGGGCTGCGGCTGTGCCAGGCTGCCCCGTCCCAGTGGAGATTTATTTTTCATCATCTTTGGCACAACCAGGCACGCCGCTGCCTGCCAGGCCCTGCGCCCCTATAAATATGCATCAAGCAGCGTTTATGGAGACGGATGGTGTGGGGGTCTGTGCTGTGGCTGAGGGGAAGGCAGAGTGGGGCCGGGCCGGGGCCCCGTGATTAATCACTGCCCACTCTGTTTAGGGGTATTCATCACGGGCCGCTGTCAGGTAAATCACTGGAAAAACACCTCTTCAGTAATTAATGTGAAGTGACGGATGGACGGCCCCTGGGCCCATTAATCTGGAACATCAGAGCCTACTGAGATTATGAATGTCAGGATGCATAAACTGCCGGCGGATCAATAGGGCCAGGAATTCATCCAAGGCTCTCATTTCCGCGGCACCTCCGGTACATTAGGCTGCAATCCCCTCCCTGCCAACCACACCGAGCCCAGCCTTGGGGACAAGCAGCGGAGCCTCGTGGGCTGCAGTGCCCGACGCTGAGCTGGACCCACCGATCTGGGACTGCCCGTGCAACCCACCTCACCCGGACAGACAGATGGATGGAGGTATCAGAGTGCAGCCTGTCACCAAGGGGTCACGGAGCTCCTCCACAAGACTGGGGATCTCCAGTGCTGGGATGCCGCCAGCTGAGATGCTCTGTGCGCATCTCGAGTCACCTCCAAGGCACACGGGATTTATGGGCTCCTCGAAAGTTTGCCATTCACCTTGCCTCACCCTCCAAAGCAGATGGTGCTGCATCAGCCAGACGGTGCTGGGAGCACCCTCTGCATGTGTAGCCGTGCCAGCACACAGCTTCTTCCCTGGGCACAGCATGCAGGCTGTGGGTCTCACTCACCCTGCAAAGGGCAGGGCATCCCTGCTGCTCCCAGACCTTGAGAGCTCACCCCACAGCATGGCTCTGGCACTAGGCTGTGAGGTCTCAGTGCAAGCACGCAGCACAGCGCAGTGTGCCAGTTCCTGGAAAAGTTGAAGTGCCACCCAGCGCCCTCCCAGCAGGCTGCCTCATTTCCTGGCAGGGCGCTGTATTTTTAGCCTTCGAGGTTTCTAATTCCACTCAATCCATCCTGCCATCAATAGAGCACGTAACCCTACAGCCCTGACTGCAAGCAGGGGACGGCAACACCTTGGCCACTGCGGAGTGGGATCGCCCATAAGGGACCACGCATCAGCAATGTCACTCTTTATAGTCTGCTGCAGGCTGGGTGAAAAAAAAAATACTGCTACCCTAATAAACGCAGCCACGAGGAGATTCTAAACAGCCCCGATTAGGATGCTGCTGCACGGTGCTGACATCCGGAGAGGGGACGGCGGGCAGCTGTCCCCACAGCACCTCCCTGCTCTGCTCTGGGGAGCAACACGCTCAATAGTGGGGACAGCACGCGTGGGGACAGTTGAGCAGTGACATCGGTGTGCAGGCAGACATGCAGAGAAAAGGGAGATTTCAATCGCGCCTCGCGCTTCTGATGCTCCAAGGAGATACCTGGAGCACCGCAGACAGGAGGTGATTTATGGGGCGATAGTGTCCCTCGACAGCTGCAGGGAGAAAAGGGATGGCACGGCAGCAAATGGAGCTACAGGCGGAGGGGAATGCAAAGGGCTTCACAAATACAGCAGGGCAGGTTCAGCACAAAAGGGAAGAGGGCTATTAATAAATAGGGAGGGAGAGAAAATTAATGACGGAACAAAAATGAAGGGCAACATTACTGTTTTTAACCAGAAAAATGCAAAGGAGGCAGAGGCCTCACCGAAACAGCTGCAGGGAAGCAAAAACAGCCCTGGCACAGAGCAGACACCTGGGCACACTGCTGACCCCAGCTCGTGGTGCTGGGTCGGAGCAGAAGCAGAGCAGCGGACACCGATTTCTGGGCAGAAAGGAATAAGAATGCTGCAGTCGAGCACCCTGAGGCTGCTTCAGTGCCCGGTGCCCAAACAGTGGGTGAAGGGGGACGTGGGATTTCCAGCAGGGTTATTTCAGCAGAATTACCGGGCAGAGCTTTAGGATAAGGCGGGCAAGATACAATTTACGCGAACATCGGGGTATCTTTTTACAGCAGCTCGCAAACTTTCATTGGAGCGGTGAATCGTAATTAAATTTGCGGACGATAGCGAGCCGAGCAGGGAAATCACTCAAAGGATCCGAGAAACACGGGCAGGGAACGCGGTGAGAAGCAGCCTGGGAAAAAGGAGCGAATGTGGCTGGGGGAAGCCGGGACGACAAGTGGGGAAATGGAGGTGCGGAGCCGCGCAGCGCGCGGTACCCGGCGCCGTACCCCAGGCGGGGAACATGGCACAGCGGGGGCGGGGCAGGGCGCACAGCTCGGGCCGCTCTGCCCCTTCCCGGCCGCTCAGCGAAGCACCGCCGTCCCCCCCGGTTCCCGCACCCCGGCTCCGTCCCGCCTGCCGGGGTCGGGGCGACGTGCGGGGGTCGCGGGAGGGGCGTTACCGGTCACGGCGCGGGGTCCCCCGCCGCTCCGCGCTGCCGCCGCCGCTTCCGCCGCGCCGAGCCCGCCCCGTCCCGCCGCGGGGAGCGCCGGGACCTGTAGTGCGGCGGCACCGCACCGCCCCGCAACGCGGCCGCGGCGCCGCCCCGCGCCCCGAGCGGCCGTCGGGGCTGGAGGGGGTAGGGGCTGCTGGCGGGAGGCAGCCGTGGGCGCGGGGAAGGCGGCGGCGGCGGCTGCGGCGGGGTGAGCAGAGCAGCCCTCATCTCCGGCGCGGCACCGCCGCGTGTGCCGTCACCCGCGCTGGGCTCCTGCGCGTCCGCGGAGTGGAGAAAGCCCACGTGCTGGGGACGCTGTGCCAGAACCGTGTCAGAAGCGTGGTGACAAAGGCACCGTGCCCAGGAGCCAGCGGGGATGATGGGCGCAGGGCTCCCGCTTCCTGCAGCGCTGACCCCGCAGAGGCTGCCATTGATTTCCCATTACATCTTAATGTCACGTACAAAGCGGGAGCGGCGCTGCAGGCTGCTCGACGCTGGGGGATCGCCGAGGCTCCGTCACCCCCTGGGCCACATCCTGCAGACAGAGGGCTGCGGGGTGGTCAGCGCGCTCGATGCCCAGACAAACGGACGGGGGAAGGTGTCTGTGCTGGGCAGCTTCGCTCCGCATCCTTCCTGGGGTTTGGCGAGGAGCTGGCTGCCTGCGCGAGCCGATAATGAACGTGGCCCCGGTGCTTGCACGCGCTCATCAGCAGCGCGGGCGGAGGGGAGCACACCTGAGACCCGCACGTCTTCTGGCTCCTAATGAAGCGCTGCTGTTGCTGAGCACTCCCGAGCTGGGACCTGCGGGAGAGACGAGTTCCTCCACAGACACAACAAGGAGCGATAGACACGGCCCAGGGGACACGGGCATTCCAGGCTGCCTACTGTGTGTGCCAGCACCAAACCCTGGTTCTGCTGTGCTGGGATGTGGACCCAAGTTATGATGCGTTCTTCCTTTGATTCCCTTTTATTTGGACTGGAGCCCAGGAAAAGTGGCTGTACTCCATTGCCACAGTCCTGCGGGGCATGGCACGGATGTATAGGTTCTGCCCTACCATCAGCGTGGCCCCATACAGGACAAGGATGGCTCTCTCTATGTGGAGCTACCCAGCACCCTCCAAGGTGCAGCCTCAGCCCCACTGTGCCCCAGAGGGGAGCATGGCTTCTCCTGCGTGTAATCGATGGCAGCAGATCCTGATCGCTTTCATTATTATTATTTTCTTATGCATGTGCGCACAGGAGATTTATCGCCAGCTACGGAGGCAAAATCAATTATTCATGTTATAAATTAGAAAATGATTTATGTTTGTGGGAGGCCGAGCAGTGCGGAGCCCCTGGCCGCGTGGGAGCTGTGTTTGTCTGGGAATGGCACCGGGTACCCCCTGCCAGCACTTCCCCAGCCTCTCCATCACCACCTCACCCTGGGGTGTCCCCATACATCACAGTATCCAGTCCTGGACACTATGCCAAACCCCAAAACCTCACAGGGGCCCATCTCCCTGCATGGGGCTCACTGCCACTGTTGACTTTGGGGTCTGGGATTGCAGGGCTCTTCAGGGATGCTCAGCTGGGCTCTATGCCCATGGTTTCCCATGGCAAATTAGCAGCAGGGCTGGGAGCTGGAGGGAACACCTAGCCTCCAACATCCTGCCAGCCCATGTGCCCATGTCTGCAGCCCAGGGGAGTTTGGGGACAGCAGTGGCTCTATTACCCCAGCTATTGCAGTAGGATGATGCTCCACAGGCAGTTTCCATGGCAGCAGGAGTGCAGTCTGAGTACTGGGAGGTGTGGGCTGCAGGAAGAACCCCTTATTTCCCCCACTGGAGACATTCTTACACCTCTCCTTCTGGCAGCTGAGTCTGTGTTTCCTGCAAGGGACACTGTGGTGTCCTCTCTCGAGTGCCACGTGCAGGGACAGTGACCCCCTGCACCACCAACATGCTCCCAGGAAAGGAGAAGGATAAGAGCAATGGGGGCTGCTCAAAGGCTTGAGCCCAGCTGTCCCAGAAGAGCCTTGGCCTCCTCTTCCTGGGTTATCGTGGCCTCAGGGCTTCTGCGAAATTTGTAGGTACAGAGAGCACTGGTGGGAGCTGCACTGTGGTCACAGAACCCCACCTCACACTGGGCATCCTCAGCTCCCCTGCCCAGCACATGTTCTGTGCTGATAGCAGGGCTGCTCTTGTTTCCAGAGAGCGTCGATTCAAAGCTGCTGTGCCTGCACCTCCCTGGGGATGGCACAGCAGGCCGGGATGCTGCCTGCTTCTCCTTGTCTCTCCATCTGCAGCTGCGTCAGCGGGGGACGCAGGGAGCCACGGGCTGAAAGAAGCAGTGCAGAGAAAAAAGAGTGGCTGGCGGCTCCAGGTCTGGCTCTGATCAGAGGCGAGCTGTGTGTCCAGCTCTGGCCGGGCCGAGCCCTGGGCAGGAGAGGCAGCATGGGGCTCTGCACTTTCTCTCACTGGAGCCAAACACCCTACAATGCTCTGAGATCCAGCAGTGCACCCTGTGACCCCCTTTGTGTTACTGGGGATCCCAGCCCCTATGAGCACGTCTCTGCTTTCTCTCTGCAGAGTAAGCTTTTGCAGAGGGCTTTGCTGGAGAAAAGCCCTAGGAGTTGCCCTGAGGACACAGGGTGAGGAGGACATCACACCCAGCATTTCCCATGCCCAGCCTGGCAGCTCAGCCATGGGGAGGGCACCGCGGAGAGCTCAGGGTTGGGGTAGGTTGGATTTGCTTTGTGCTGCTGCACCAAACACCTGGGGACTCAGCAGCTCGTGACAGTGCTGTATAATGTGAGGAAGCAGCCCGCGGTGCAGGCAGGCGCCGGTGCTGCTGGCGGCTGTGGGCAGGGAGATGATGGGGCCCAGCAGTGCCCCTGGGAGCGGAGCTGGCTGTGGGCAGCAGGATTCTCCTGCTGCCTCTGTTCTCCTGCACACGGGATATAAGCAGGCAGTAAAAGCAGCACTGTGCTGCAGGAATCAATATAGCCTGGGTGCTCCTCCCCGCTCTCCCCTGGGAGCCTGCCCCCAAGCATCTCCCTGAGCAATTGCTGCTGTCTCCCTCTCCATGCTGTCTTGCTTTCCAGCATGTGCAGCAGGACCATGCCTGATGCTGCAGGCCATGCAACAGTGTGGGGCAGGGGGTGACAGCCCCCGGATTTGGGGAGCTCACTTCCTGGGCAGCCTGACTTCAGGGATCCTTTGGGATACGGAGAGAGATATCCTGGGGGATTCCTGTGTCCCTCTCCGGGGAGCCCCACTGCCTGACCAAGAGGAGCTGATGTGCTCTGGCTCTATCACAGCACCCAGCAGGTTCAGAGGGACATGACACAGCGTGATCCTACATCTTGCCCATGGGGATTCTGATCCTACAGGAGATCCCAAGGAGAGAAAAGCCCAGCTCACCCATAGGGCAGTGTCTCGCACGGAACGGGGCTTTCTGCTGTCACTGCTCTGCCCCACAGGTAATGATGGACAGCAGGGATGGGCACCATGAGGCAGGAGACAACAGCGGGTGGATCCGGTTACAGGCAGCACGGGGCAGAGAGATCAGCAGAGAACAGCAATGCAGCAAAAAGGGCTTTTAGTGATAATTAATAATTAACATTTCTAATGATGTCCCGGCGACAGGAAGAGTCCAAGCAGGGACCTGGGGGCACTGTGCATGGTGACAGTAGCAGCTTGGGGCCATATAGGGACTGGGCTGTACAGAGCCCGGGGTCAGGTGCTGGGTGCTTCCTTCCTGCCCTGCTGCTGCCATGGGCACGCAGTGATCCTATGACAAGATGGACTGGAAAATAGTGTACAATGCACCTTCAGATTGACCTGGCCTCTTTGCTAACACCACTGGGTCTACCAGGCTGGCGGCAGGAAGAAGGGATTTCTTCAGCACTCACCCATGGACCTTCTGAGGTCCCCAGGATTTGGTCATGCTGGTGACAGGAGCAGAGGTGGCTCAAGATACGCAGAGCCCAGGGGACCCAGTAGGATGGCGGCAGCTCAGCGCAGCGCAGCACAGGCTGCAAGGGAACGGAGCGCTCACTATAAATACATCTGCAGGGTAAACGCCAGGGAGGAGAAGAGCTATTTCAGCTAAAAGACAACATTAGCACAGGAATGACTGGGGATAAATTAACCATGAATACATTTAGGGTGGAAATTAGACCCTCGGAGCAAGGAGGTCCCAGCACAGCCCCTCCAGAGAAGGAAACGGTGACAGGGGCCAGGGTCAGCTTTGTGGCCAACATGTCCCACACATCGTGTGCCCTCTTCTAGTGTCAAAAAGGAGTAAGGTGTATTGCCCAGCTGCTTCCCAGGCCATGCTGGCTGCGACCAGGCAGAGCAGGTGACTGCAGAGAGGAGCAGTATGCAGAGCACTATGCATGGTATATGCATGCACACTGCACGCATGCCTGAGCGTGCAACGTGCAGGCTGTGTGTGAGCATAAGTGGGTGTGCACAGGCTGCATGAATGTTTGGGCAGCGTGCTGGGTGCTCACATATGGTGTGTGTCTGTGTGTGTGTGTATGCAGGGTGTGCAGACAGTGATGCTGCACGCAGGCTGTACTTCATGTATGCATGTGGATGTGCGTTTGCAGCATGTGTGTGCTGTGCACCCATTGTGCACCTACTGGGCTGTGTGCAGGTGTCTCAGCCTTCGTGGTGCTCCAGAAAGAACATCGACAGCGCCTGTAAAGCGTCTCAGAGGACAGTGCTGGGAGTCAGCACTGCTCTGTCACCTGCACCCAGTCTGTGCAGCAGCAGCTGCGATGTGCTGGAAGGCACATGCTGGGTTTCCCTGATCCAGCTGCTCCTGGGCTCGTTCCCATCCGGATGATTGTGAGCCGTCAGGCAGAGGGATGCAGGGTGCCGGGGCTGCTGGCTGCAGGGGATTCCAGGAGGCAATCACCCCGTGCAAAGCTGGGACAGCGCTGCCCTGGAGATGTAGGCACTGGTGCAGCGCTCAGACTGCATGTCCGCGCTGCCTGCAGCCCTCCGACTCCCTTCCCCCAGCAGCATGTCTCACTGCCGCCTCGCTCTAATTTCCTGTCCATTGTCCCCGTCGCCGCCACCATCGGTCCCCAGCGCAGGGCCGTGCAACGCACAGCCAGTCTCCATGCACCTCCGTCATCTCCACGTTCATACCCCAACAGGGCCGTGCTCACCCTCCGCAGCTCCCAGAAGAGCCTGGATGCTGCCTTGTCCCCCCTTCACTCCCAGCACCTGTGGGACCGGGCATCACCAGCCCAACATGGGGAGCAGGAGCCCATAGCAGATTCTGTGCCCAGTGATCAGCCGCACTGCAAAAGGGGTCATCGGAAATGGAGTGTACAGGGGTACTTGATGGTCACGTGGCAGCAGCACTGTGGGAAACAATCACTGGGGCTGAGAGCTCTCCAATCCAGCAGGGAGAGGAGAACTGCTAGAAACAGGCAGGAGCTGAAGCCAGACACGTTCGAATGAGAAATAAAGGTTTCAGCAGGGCAGGAGATCAGCCACTCAGCACAGCCCATCACGGCGCGGGCTCCTGCTGCAGCCCGGTGCAACGAGGTGGTTGCAGCCCCAGGCTCCATGCTGGGTTCCTGTAAATGTGTTCTGCTGAGATGACCTAACTGTGCCCTGCCAGCACCGTCCCTGTGCCACCACGGCCTCACGGGGAGCTCTGTGTCCAGCCCTGCAGCAGATACTATGGGAAGGAAGGCAGGCTGCGTGCAAGCCAAGCTCAGCATCCAATAGCTGCAAGGTTTTGGAATGGCAGTGCCTTGTGCAACCAGTCCCCAGGTCCCCAACAGTGAAGCAGGTGCCCTGCACCTAGGGTCATGCTGGGGATGGCATGGGGACGATGCTGAGCCCTTGGGCACAGCTTTGGGGGCTGACGTCTCTCCATACCCACAGTTACATTGCTCTATTGGGCAAAGCAGTTGGGATGGGGCAGCTCTGTGCATCTTTGCAGTCAGTGGGGAGCAAATCCTTCTGTGCTCTGGGTGGAAATCACTGGGGGGAGGGAGAGGAAACAGCGAGGGGGAAAGTGCCTCTGAGTGACTGCAGGGCTGCAGCCAGGATTTTGATCCCCATCGCCCAGCTCCCGGGTAGCATTGCTGGGACCCCATGGTCCCAAAGCTTTTGGGGGCGGCCTGACAGTGAGGGACGGTGCGGGACACGATGGGACAGAGCGACCCACCGCCCCGTGAAGGTTACGAGCCACTCTCCTGCCACATGCCTCAGCGGGTCCCCCCATCATATTTTGGCTCCGTATCACCCGGCGCTGCCCGGCCGTGCTTCCACTGCAATTTCGGGCAGTAAATCAGCTCCGCACAGCCCCACCTCCCCGCTCTCCATTGGCAGCGGCACCCCTCGCCCCTCTCATTGGCGCTGCCGCGGCCGCCCAGCGCTACATAAAGCCCGCACGGGCGGTCGGAGTCGTCGGGAGTCGGGCGGCGCGGAACCGGGAGGCGGGCGGCGAGGCGGGCGCTGCGGGATGCGCTCCCCCCCGCCACCGCCGCCGCGGGGGCACCGGGCAGCCCCCCGCGCCCGTGAGTAGGGAGGGGGCCCCGCGCCTCCGCCCCGCCGCCAACTTTGCCGGGGAGTCGGGGGTGGGTGCGGGAAGTTGGGAAGTGGAGAGGGGAGGGGGCGGCGGAGTTGGGGATGGGATGGGGGGGTAGGGGTGCTGCCTGGGGTTTTAGGGTGGGGGCTGGCAGTAGGGGAGCACCCGCGGGGACGCTGGGGTGGTGATGGGCAACGGGAGGGAAAGGGCAGCTCTTCTCTTTGGGAATGTCCCTACTTGGTCACTGTGGGGCTGGAGGGGTCCCTCTGCCCCTCCACCTGTGCAGGAAGGGGCTGGCTGCGCGGTGCCACGGCTGAGCCCCCCCAAGGACCCGATGTCCCTTCGGGCTGAGCTGCGAGATAAGGTGACTGCTTGTCTCCATACTGCATGAGCTGCTGCTGGCTGAGCCCCAGCGTGCTGGGTCCGGTGCTGAGCATGGGAGAGAACAGGGACCATCTCTGCTTGGGAACTACAGGCGTGAAGTCCTTTGGGAGCATCCATGGCAGCATGCACACAGGGACCAGGTCCTGTGTGAGGGGTGTGAGGTGCACGGCGCTGAGGCCACAGCAGTGAGACCAGGGCTTGTGGCTTCGGCCAGAGCACAGGCACTGCAGAATCAGAGCTGCTTGGGGCTCTGGCATCCCTGGGATACCACAGCCCCTCTGGGACAGAGGAGACTGAGTGCAGGATGCCTCTCACCTGTCCTCTACCCTGGCAGGTTTGGCTGTGGTGGCCTGGGAATGATGGGAAGGGGGATATGGTGTCACTGGGACACATGCAGCATGATGTCATGCGGTGCTGTGATGTTACCGTGCTGTCACTGCTGTGAGGTGGCTTTGGGGTGTGGTGGGGCTCCTGCGCAATGTCACACGATGCTGTGGCAGTGCTGGCCCGGGATGGGATGTGGCCCGGGATGGGATGTTGCCGCAGTGGTGACGCATGACACTGGGGACACGCAGCATGGCGGCAGCGATGTCACGGGGATGGGGCGGCCATGCAAGTGGCCAACTCCCACGTCCCCGTGATGTGTGCTGGGGACCACAGCCATGTACGTGAGGAGCCCTGGGGCAGCATCTCCCTGCCTGCTCTAACAGGTCTGTAGGGTGTGACCTTCCTAGGTTTGTGCACCCAGGCGTTGCCCTCACCCCATCCCGTTCTACCCTCAGGCTACTTTTGGCAGCAGCCTTGCATGGGGATGGCAGTGCCAGGGAGCAGCTGTTGGGCCAGCACTACATTCCTGCGCTACCCAGTTGTGCCCTGTGTGGGCACCCATGGCACCCCTGACTTGCTCCCATCTTCCCTCTGTCCCTTCTGACCACTTCAGCTCCATGCCACCAGGTTTAGCCATGCTGAGCAGGAGTCCCAGTGTAACTGCAGCACCTGCAGTGACCTTGCCACTGGATGCCAAGACATGAGCTGGGACAGGAGAGAGCTGAGCTCTGCCATTGGCATACAAGCAGGACCCTGTTGCCTCAAACATCTGTGTGCTGTGCTGGAAGCCACAGGGCCTCTTGCATTCAGTACACTGAGCCTGGGCCTCCCTCCCTTTTCCCAAAACAGCCTGGCTCTGGGCCGGGCAGCCCCCACCATGGCACCCAGAACCGGATCCGTGGGGAAGAGCCTTTTGTTTCCAATCAGGAACATTGTTTCCTCCTGGAAAAGCTTCCTCCAGCTTGGAGGGATTCCGGCTGCAGCTGGATGGAGTGGGGGTGTGCCTGGGGAGTGGGCCAAGCTGCAGGGAACGGGAGCTGGAGGGGATACAGAGCCCCATTGATGGCATGGGGACAGTTCCCTGGAGGGGCACCAGGCAAGGGAATGCTGCACCGTGCTGGCTGGGGACAGAGATGAAGGTTGGGAAATCAGAGGACAACCCTATGCTCATGTCCCTATGAATGGGCAGATGCTCTGTGCCTTGTCCCCACGCTTCCCAGATAAACCTTGGGGTAAGATCCTTGGAGCCTTTTCCCTTCCCCGGGAGGCAGCAGCAGGCTGGTGGTGACAATCTACCAAGGTCCAAGAATAGGGCATCTTCCCCTCTCCAAGCTGGCCACACAGGGCCAATGGCATGAGGACAGGCTGACAGTGAGACTGGTCACCTTCCCCCACTGCTTGTCTTTTGGGGAATGCTCCTAAAGAATTTGGAACAGCTCTGTCATGGCCACACGGTGTAGTGCCCCTTGCTGGACTTGATGGACACAGCTGGTGCCATGCAGCTGGACTTTTCTCTTCTGGAGGGGACTGCCCAGCCCACAGTGAGTGCAGCAGTCCTGAGTGCCACCTCACTTGTCACCCAGTCTAAAGCCGGGTCAGAGCCAGCTCCAAAGCTCCGCAGCCTTGCCAGCAGAGCTGGCAGCCACAGTCCTCCGCAGTCCAGGTTAATTGAGCCTCTCCTCCCAGTCTCCTGTCACCTTTCCATAGCTGCAGCCCTGTGCAGACAACCCCCCCCACAGTCCCCAAGAGAAACAGTGATGGCAGGATGGGGAAACTAAGGCATGTTGGAGCCGCACAGAAATGCCTGAGGTCTCAGGGCTGGAGAATTGAAGGGTTGTGCATTACTGAGTGGGGTGGATGGTGAGTGGTGGAGGAAGAATAACTCGTACAGGGATGATGCTCGGGCTCCGTGGAATGGGATCTTGGTGGTGCAACCAGCAGAGCTGAGTGGCTGCAGGTCTGTCTCAGGTGCCTAGGATGCTGGCGCTGTGCCTGCTGTCCCTGGCCTGGCTCAGTGAGGGCTCCCAGCGCAGTGAGCCCATGTTCACCGCCGTCACCCACCAACTGCTCCCGCCTGACTACGACAGCAACCCCACACAGCTCAACTACGGCGTGGCTGTCACTGACCTGGATGCTGATGGCAGCTTTGAGATCGTGGTGGCTGGGTGAGTAGGGACAGTCTTGGAGGCAGTAAGACATGGTGGCCCTGCAGTGCCAGGAGCTCCTTGCAGCCATGTGTCCCACGGCTGGCAGCCTTTCCAAACTCACTGTTTTCTCCAAAAAGCACACGTGGTGCCCAGCTGAACGCCCAGCTGCAGGCAGTTGGTCTCACTGCTCTGCTGGGGCACATCACTAATATTCCTATCCCTCCATCTAGGAGGAGGTGTGCGGTGGCACTGCCAGCATGCCATCTGCATGGGGACACTGCTCCGGGGTCGGGTCCCCTTGCTGTGGGATGATGGCAGCTGCCCAACTGCTGGGTCCCACCCCTCAGTACAGAGGCAGCTCAAGCCCGAGCCAGCTCGGCTCCGCTGACAGGACTCAGTGCTCTCCGGAGATTCATTTAATTGGCTGGAGGTTTTTTATAGCCCTGTATGGGTGTGATGGCTTGGAAGGGCTGGCAGGAGCCAGTGATGCAGGAGCCGTGTGCTGTGCTGTCCCAGCACCCGAGCAGGGCTGGACACAGAGCAGCTGCTGCTGGCAGGTCCTGCCCTGGCTGGGGATAGTGGAGACAGTGGCACAGGCTCCTGGCATGGCTGTGAGACAGTGGCATAGCATGCTCATCCAGGAGGGAGGCTTGTACATGTGTCCTCACCTGGAAGGGAGTATTTCACCCTGTGAGCCCAGCATGGACTGGCACTGTGCTTGACGTATGGGGCACGGACATGGGGTGTCTGCCGAACAGTACAGCAAGCCTGGGCAGCCAGGGATACCCAGCAAGGCCCAGGTCACTACGCTCAGCAGGGCTGAGCCAAGCAGCCGGGATGGTTTTGTAAGCAGCACATTGCCCGTTGTGTAACTTGTTTACGGTGCGTGGGGCAGGAACAGGCGGGGAGCCTGTGGGGCACAGTGTGCTGAGCAGATTTTCCTTGCATGCTGCCTTCCCTGCCCTGGGAAAAGGCTGCAAGAAGGGAACCTGCCCCATCCTACCCTGAGACTACCCACGGCGCCCAGGTCGTGTGACGTGTGACACCAGGCTGAGCCCTCCCCATGGCAGCCAGCCCCACAGCTGGAAGAGGGAGGCAGAAGATCCTTAGCCACCACACACCATGCATGTCTCTGCTGTGCCCCTCAAGCTGCTGGTGCCCAGATCCTGCTTGGCACAGTGCATGGCCAGCTGCACGAGGGAATGGGGCGGGGGCTGTCATGCCATTCCCAACTCCAGGATCCATCTGTTCATGCCTACAGATACAATGGCCCCAACCTGGTGCTCAAGTATGACAAGGCACGGGGCCGGCTGGTCAACGTGGCAGAGGATGAGTACAGCTCCCCTTACTATGCGCTGCGGGACCGGCCAGGCAATGCTATCGGTGTGACAGCGTGTGACATCGACGGGGATGGCCGTGAGGAAATCTACTTCCTCAACACCAACAATGCCTTCTCTGGTGAGCTCCAGGCACTGGGAGAGGGGGGGGGGGGCCGGCACAGCTGCCCATGACCTTCGGCGCGTGAGGGATGTGTGCGGGCTGGAGTTAATTTCCCAGTTGAGTGGCTCCATTGATTGATGGCAGCGCGGGCGGGACGCTGAGCCCAGCCTGATGCTGAGTCAGCACTACCAGCCACCCTCCCCAAGGCACCCTGAGGGGATGGCAGTGTCCCATCACCATTGGGACTGCCATGCCACCAGGATGTGAGTGTACCCCCACTTGCTGACCCCTGTGATGGTGGCAGAACTGTGCCTCTGCACCAAGCCAGAGTCTCATCCTGCCTTACTGATGCTGTCGCATCTCCTGGGCATGCCAGCCCTGGGGAGGTGACACCTGTGCCCCGAGTGATCCCCAAAGCTCCCTGTGTCCCTGCTCCATCCCAGCTCTGCCCAGTCCCACTGCTGCGGATGTGTTTTCATTCTCCAGTTACCAGGACTGGCAGTGGCTGTCTGCGTGCCCATCCCTAAATCAGGCAATGCCACTGGCACTGTCACAGCACCATGGCTCACCGCCCGTGCCTGGCACTGCATTGATTTTTGCCTCCACTGGCTGTGCCCCATTGGGACGCATTTTAACTTAATGAGTTGATTCTTCCATGTGTCTCCCAGTGGCACTTACGGGTTATGGGAACTCTGCCGGTGGCAACAGCTGGGGGGACAGGGACAGTGCAAGGGTCATGTCCCATTGGGGCAAGCTCAGGGGGAGGATGTTTGCAGCAGCCCCTGATCACATCCCGTAGGCATGGCCACCTACACGGATAAGCTCTTCAAACTCCGCAACGGGCGCTGGGAGGACCTGCTGAGCGACGAAGTGAACCGCGACGTGGCCAGCCGCTTCGCAGGGCGCTCTGTCGCCTGTGTGGACCGCACGGTGAGCAGGCAGAGTGTGGGGCAGCCCCTCACCCAGGCCCCGTCCCACTCCACTGGGGATGGGGGTGCCCCCAGCAGCCGCTTGGTGGCTGTCAGGGCTCGCAGCCCCCCCGGCCATCAGGGCTCCGGGCATCCGTCCACACGGTTGCCGCTGGCTGATAAACGCGCCTGTCGAGGTGATTTATGTCCCTGTCACCTGCTCTTTCTTCTTCCTCCTCCCCCAGCAGTTTGTTTCCCAATGATTATCGCTAAATCAGGACCCAGCTGCTGCACGGGACAAGGGGGGCGGTGGGGACGGGGGGGCACCTGTCACAGCAGGGAGTGTGGCATGAGCTGAACACCAGGACTGAGCTTGGAGACGGTGGAGGTGATGGGGCACATCCCAGTGGGAAAGCACAACCATCCCCAGTGCAGGGTGCTCTTGACTATGGGCGTTAGGGAACTCAACAGCAGGGAGGATGGAGGCCAAACCCAACCCCACGGGCTGAGGTGGAGGGACAGGGAGCTGAGGCGGTGCTGCCGGCCGCAGGGGTCGGGCAGGTACTCTATCTACATCGCCAACTACGCCAGTGGCAAAGTGGGCCCACATGCGCTGCTGGAGATGGACGTGGCTGCTAGTGACCCTGCCCGTGGCATCGTGGTGCTGGTGGACGTGGCCGCCCAGGCTGGTGTCAGCAAGTACACAGGTATGGAGAGGACGTGAGCACCAGCGACCTGTGCCATGACCCACACCACATGTGCCACACATTGCCTGCCTGACTGCCCCACCTAGTGGCCACCCCACTGCGCGTGGCACCCACCCAGAAGGACCCCGCTGTCACCTGCTGGTTCCCTGGCAGCGTCCTTAGGTCCTGGGGATGCAGGGTGCATGCCAGCCACCATGGGGGACTGCCGCGTGCCCCGTCTCTGTGGCGGTAAATTCTTGCTAATTAGGAGTGTTGTCACCATGGCGATGGCAGTGATTAGGTTGGATGTGACACAAGCGGCTGCCAGCCTCAATTAGCTCTTGATGAGAGGGAGTGAAGGAGGAGGGAGGGAGAGGAGGGGGTCTTGGGAACACTGGAACAGATACAGGGACATGCAGCCCCCAAAGCAGGGGACAACCTTACCACTGGCTGCTGTCCCCAGGGGGCCGTGGTGTGGCTGTAGGCCCCATCCTGAGTGACAGTGCTTCTGACATCTTCTGTGGGAATGAGAACAGCCCCAACTTCCTGTTCCACAACCGTGGGGATGGGACATACCAGGACGTGGCAGCTGTGGTAGGTGAGTAGAGGGCAGGGGGAGATGACACCAAATGAGCTGAGCACAGTGCTGGGGGACTGTGGGGATTGACGGGCCCCATCGACCACAAGAGGGGCAGCAGAGATGCAAAGATGCAACATGGGGAGGCCCATATGGAGACCAGGGGCCATGTTCCAGGACGTGTCCTGGGGAGTTGTCTCACGATCGAGTGTCCGGTCTCCCTGTCCCCTTGTTGCTTGCAGGGCTGGATGACCCCTACCAGCATGGACGTGGTGTGGCACTGGCTGACTTCAACCGTGATGGCCGTGTGGACATTGTCTATGGCAACTGGAATGGGCCGCACCGCCTCTACCTCCAGGCAGGGGCCCCTGGGCGCATCAAATTTCGGGTGAGGGCTGGGGCTGGAACATCCCCAACCACCAGCTTTGGTGCTGAGTCCCAGTTTGGTTTTGAGCTCCGGTTGCCAGTGGGGATGGAAACTGAGGAGCAGTGTCCTCACATCACCATCCCATACCCATTTCTCACGCAGGACATTGCCACTCCCAAGTTCTCCATGCCATCCCCTGTCCGCACTGTCATCGCTGCTGACTTTGACAATGATCAGGAGCTGGAGGTCTTCTTCAACAACATTGCCTACCGCGGCTCCTCCGCTAATCGCCTGTTCCGGTAGGGCTGGGGGGCCATGCCCCACAGCGGGAGCCAAGCAGCCCTCACCGTCCTCTTCTCCGTTGGTGCCACGTGCGGGGCCAGAGCTCCGACTCTGCTCATCAAGGAGCCATGCCTGAGCCCTTCCCTATGTCATTACCAGCCCTGCGGCTGTGCCTGCAGCAGCCCCTGGGGTCCCCATGCTGCTGATCACAGCTGTGTGGAAGCTTGTTCCCTGCTGCAGCTAATTGTGGGGATCAATTCCTCACCACTGCTCTGCGGCACCCCCTTGCCATGTTGGCACAGCAGGCAGGTGGAAGGCGGTAGTTTGGGAGGAGCTGGGAGCCCCCAGGGGTTGCAGCAGCGTTTGGAGATGGCACTGCTGCTCTCCATGCCCTTGTGATATCTCTATCATTTCTCCATGAAGCAGGGATGAGATGTGCATGTCCAGTCACCAGGCACCCCACACGGCCCTGTACTCTCTGGGTGTCATCTCTCTGCCAGGCTGCTCCAAGGTGGAGAGCTGCTGGGTGTCATGGGGACACAAGGGCTGGCACTAACACCCTGCCTGTGCTCAACAGGCTCATCCGCAGGGAGCACTCAGACCCCATTGTAGAAGAGCTGAACCCGGGGGATGCGCTGGAGCCCGAGGGACGGGGCACTGGTGGGTGCTGCAGGGCTGGGGGTGACACAGCACCGCCAGAGTGCTTCCATCACCATGAGAGCCAAACCCATGACCTGTTGCTCTGTGCACAGGGGGTGCGGTGACAGACTTTGATGGCGATGGGATGCTGGATCTGATCCTATCCCACGGCGAGTCCATGGCACAGCCACTCTCCATCTTCAAGAGCACCCAGGTGAGCAAAAGGGCTCCTCTAGATGTCTCCATCCCTGTGTCCCCCCAGCTCAGCCTTCCTCCCCTCTGCTGCAGGGTGCTGGCAACAACTGGCTGCGGGTTGTGCCACGCACCCGCTTTGGGGCCTTTGCACGAGGAGCCAAGGTGGTGCTGTTCACACGACGCAGCGGTGCCCACCTGCGCATCATCGATGGCGGCTCAGGGTACCTGTGTGAAATGGAGCCCGTGGCACACTTTGGACTGGGTGAGGCCCGGGGTGAGGGCAAGATGCTGCCAGCCCCCCCCTGCACCCAGTGACAGGCTGCCTGCCCACAGGACGTGACGAAGCCAGCAGCCTGGAGGTGACGTGGCCCGACGGCCGTGTCCTGGTGCGAGCGGTGGCCAGCAGTGAGACCAACTCTGTCCTGGAGGTCCCCTATCCACGAGACACAGAGAAACCACCGATGCCCACCCTGCTGGAGGTGAGGACCCACGGGGAGTGATTAAGGGACAGGAATGCGGGGCTGAGCTCTGCTGCCTTGGGGCTGCCCCATCCCAGTGTCTGCTTCTCCCCAAACGCAGTGCGGGCAGGGATTCTCCCAGCACGAGAACGGACGCTGCGTAGGTGAGTGCAGACACAGGCATGGCTGAAACCCAGAGTATGGCTGTTGGGCATGTGCTCTGGGAGCATGGGCTCTGAGGGGGCAGGGGGTGCATGGCTGATACAAGTGATGCAGCAGAAATGGGGACATGGTAGTGTTCAGCTGTGGCAGCGCACCGCTTGCGAATGGCCACATCCACGCTTACGCACAGTGGGAGCCAGGGCACACCACTGGCAGTTCCCAGCCTGGCCACATCACCCCCTATCCCCTCTGTCCACAGACACCAACGAGTGTGCTGAGTTCCCCTTTGTCTGCCCCCGGGAGAAACCCATCTGCATCAACACCTATGGCGGGTACCGCTGCCGCAGCAACAAGCGCTGCGCTCGTGGCTTCGAGCCCAATGAGGATGGCACAGCATGTGTGGGTGAGTGATGGTGGTGATACACTGGAGCAGCACCTTGGGATGGTGACGTACCCACCCAGGCACAGCCACCCCTGCACCCTCCAGTGGTTGCCTATGCCCCAGCCCCACAGCTACGTGCCTCCGTGTCTGCTGGTCCCATGCCACCCACTTGCTGCTGATCACCCAACTCTCTTTCTTTCCTGCTCCTTTTCTCATTCTCCGTGCAGCTCAGGTGGCCTTTTTTGGGGGATACCCCTCCACCGGGAGCTGGCCCTGGGCCCCCCAACGCATTCTCCTCTCTCTGGGCTTCGGACTCTGCCTTTGCCTCTATGCACTTTAACCCTGCCTGTAACACCCGAGCAGCCTTGGCGAAGGAGCAGCCAGCCTCTGTCTGTCTCTTTTTCTCTCTCCCCATGTGGAACTGCCCTGGATGGGCAAGGGACCGCAGCACCGTCCCCACACTGCAGCCCAGGACTGAAGCCCCAGCACTCCCCCCGCATCGCTGGCTCTGTCGCCTCGATCCCGTGCCATGTGCCTGCTGGTTTGGCCTGAGCCACGTGTGCTTTTCAAGTCCCCTCTGCTCGGGGGGAGGCAACCCCAGCAGAGGAGGCTCCCCCCAGCCCAGCAGGGGAAAGTCCCCTCAGTTTGTTTTTTAACTTCTTGACCCTGCTGTTTGGAGTTGGACCCTGCTCAGTCTTCCAGCCCATCTCCTGGAGAACCCTCCCAATAAACTATACACTGTCTATTTGCCGGCTGGGCTGAGCTCAGGCTTCCAGCAGGGTGGGAGCCACTATTTTGCCCTAGATTTCTCCCCCCCCCCCCGGGCGCCAGGCCCCCCAGGTACAGCCCCTGTGCCAGCCGTGCCATGTGAGTAAACCAATCCCTGTCCTGCTTTCTCTGCATGTCCCACAGGGCGTGTACAGCACGATGCCTCCCACTTCTTGCCCCACGCCCAATCTCCATATGGGGCCAGTCCTATGGCACCATTGGGGTGCCCAGCCCCAATGTAGCCCCGATGCAAGAGGAGGCAGGGTAGCTAGCAGGGCCGAAGCATGAGGTTTATTGAAGGTCTCCATCAGTTTCCATGCAGGGTACCCCACAGGGTGCACCAGAGCCTCACCACCCTCCTGTGGAGACGGGTCCTCCTCCCTCTATGGCCCTGGAGCTCCCTCCCAGGTACTGGATGTTACAGGGACCCACCTCTTGTCTCTTTCCCCCTCGGGGGTCCCCCACCACAGGTTGCAAGTGTGGGTGCTGCAGCCAGGGGTGCTGCATCAGGGCAGCAATGGGCTGGCACCTTTGGGGTGATGGGCAGGATGCAAGCAGGAGACACACCCCCTGCAGGCCCCCAGCACCACAGGGGTACTGTATGCTGCAGGGAGGGTGAGGATGCATGCGGGATGTGTGGGCAGAAGGATTTGTGCCCCCTGCCCTGGCACAGGGAGCTGGCTGGGGATGGCAGGGAGCAGGATGCAGCCAGAACCTTTGGGGCAGCACACAGGGTGAACGCACAGCACCATCATGCAGATGAAGCAACACAGGGGCACGAGGCCATGTCCCCCTGGCTTCAGCTCTGCTGGAGCACTGCAGGGCGAGCTCTTTCACTGGAGGTGATGGGAGGCTGCGGGAGCCCTTTGGCACTGGTTTGATTCTGTGGGAAGCACCTGGGACACCCCAGCAGTGGCCCCTGCCTGCAGTGGGTCTGGGCAGGGGCAGAGCCACCGCAGGGGGCACATGGCACAGAGGACACCTGGCCCCCATGCCCCCTCCCACCCACTCTGGTCTCAGAAGCGGGTGCTCTGGTAGTGCAGCCTGCGGATCTCAGAGAGGCGGCTGTCCCGGCAGTACGCGTCCCTGCAGGGACCTCCCCCTGCCAGTCACCGCCCCCCCCCCACCACTGCTGCTGCTGCTGGAGCTGCCACTGCTGGAGCTGCCACTGCTGCACCGGTCCTCGTAGATGGAGATCTCGATCTGAGCACTGCTAAGGAGCAGCCGTGGGATGCATCAGCCATAGCCTCGCTGCCGGTGTCCCCCCACCCCTCACACTCATCCCCCCTTACCCCAGAGGATACAACTCTCATGCCACGCTCCAGGGGGTCAGTGAGCAGCAGCCCCCGTGGTGCGTAGACCTTCTCATTCTGCTCCTGGATATACTTGGAGATCTTCTTCAGGACCTGTGAGTGCAAGGGGGGCACTGAGCACCCTCCGGCCCTGGTTCCCCCCCCCCCCCCAACCCTCCCACTTCCTTTGCCCTCCCCAGGGCATCAGCACCTTCTCGTAGTGTGTCTCCATGCAGAGGAAGATGAAGTAGGCAGTGGCACAGGCCAGGCACCCCTCCAGGTATGAGCTGCCCCCAATCTTCTCCGCTTCAGCATAGAACCCATTGAGAGTTTTCACGGTCTCTTCAAATAGCTGACGCTCAATCTGGGGCAGAAGCTGCCATGAAGAGATGCTTGGCCAGCAGCTATCCCCATCCCTGGGATGCCCTGGGGACCACCTAATCCTCTCCTTCCTTCTCAGCTGCTCCCTGCCCATTGCCCATCTACACCAAGAGCTCTGTGCCTCCATCAGATCCCCCAGTCTCCAGGAGAGATGATACATACTCTGCCCAGGGCAGCAATCCAGAGCTGGCTCAGGGCCACACAGCCCCCCATACCCTCTCCCTTTTGTTTAGACAAACCCCACAGGACTCTGAATATAGGGCACCCCCACGCACGCTGCCAGGCATCCTACCCGGCTCTCCAGCTCTGGGGGGAACTTAGTCTGGAACTGGCACGTGGTCCCATCGCTGTAGTCCCGCTGCACAAAGACCTTGGTGGCCAGTGATGCGCTGCGCCGCAGCTCCTGCAGGCTGTGTACCTGGGGGATTGCAGTGGGGTGAGCTGGGGGGATACAGCCTGAGGGTGGGGTGGGAAGGTCGCCATGCATCCCACTGTGGGTGTCATTCCCACAGACCCCGGCATGGCCTCGTGTCCACGGTGGGACGAGGCCTAATGGTGGCACAGGGATGGTCCTCAGTCCTCAGCAGGATGCTGTCAGGAGGAGGGGAACAAGGGACTGCTTCTGTAGGGCCGCAGCAGCTGTGCAGCTAGAAGGGCTGGGATGGCATAACCCTGGCACCCTACAAGGCGCCAGGACCCACTCCAGCTTCCAGGTGTTGGAACAGAGCTGGGATGGAGAGGAGGATGGAGGGGACAAAGGGAGGGAGTCAGACCCCTCATACTGCAGCCCCACATGGACCTCTCCATCAAGGACGCCCCACCCCAACCCCAACCCCACGCCCCTCCAGCCCCACCGCCGGCACCTTGAATGCAGAAGGGCCCTTCTGTGAGTGTGGAACCCGCAAGGCTCCAGCCCCACCCCGCACAGCCCCGGGCACCCGCGCACCCACCTCCGTGGCCATGGCGCTCCGTGCGCCCCGGGCCGGGCCGTGCTGCGCTGGGTCGGGCCGCGAGGGGCAACCGGAGCCGGCGGCGGGGCCGGGCCGAGCCGAACCGAGCCGGGCAGAACCGAGCGGGCGGCACCGGCGCTGTCCGCGGTGCTGCTGAGCCGCGCGGCGGAGGCGGAGGCGGGCCCGGCCGCAACGTGTGCGCAGCCTCCCGGCCCCGGGGATGGGCGCCCGCTGCTGCCTGCACCGAGCCCGGGGGGAGCCGGTCTGATCGGGGGCGGCTGTGGGGGTGGCTGGGAAGTGGCTGCCCGGGGGTGCTGCGGCGTGGAAGGCACGGGGGTGATGGGGGACTGCGCCCCATGGGAAAGACACGGGGGTACTGGCTGGGGCTGGTCGTGGGGCTGGCAGCCCGCCCTGCCCGGGTACGTGGCAGTGCTGCTCTTGCAGAATTTGCAGCTGCAGAGCGGGCGCCGCGAGCACAGCGCAGGCAGACATCAGAGAGGAGCGCTAACAGATTCTCTGTAATCTCTGCCCATTGACAGCTCAATTAGAGGCAGAGAAATGGCAAACGGGGAGAAAACAGACGTTCTCCCTAGAGGAGGAGGGCACAGCAGGGGAGGGGTTGACGTGTGGTGGCACAGGGCCCATTCAGGGTGGAAGGGCAGCGAGCCCTTCCTCTGCACCTGTAGGGACATCGGCAAAAAAAGCAACAAGCAGTGGGTGCAGAGCCTCAGCACCGTGCACACATGTCTGGGGATGCACAGATCTACATCTGGGGTTGCAGATATCCACACCTGGGGATATGTGCATCTCTGCAGGCATACATGCATACCCAGGTGCGTCCCGAGATGCCCCCACACCCATGTCCCTCTCTCACACTGAATGTCAAACCACGTCACCACTCACCTCCTGCCTGGCAGTGGCCGTGCCAGTTGCCATGGCAATGTCTCGCCTGTGGAGAGATGAGGTTCACTCTCCCAAGTGGTGGAGAGGGGCCGAGAGCGGCAGGGGAAGCACAGCTCTCCCTCACACCCCCATGTGCATCCCCTGGGCTGTGCCCACCTGTGTTCCCCCTGTGGGAGCTGGGTTGGGTGGGAAAGGGCCATGGTTGGTGGCTGTCCCCTGGAGCTGTGACACTGGATGTCCCCTTGGGGCTCCATGCTGGGCCTTTCTTGTGGGCTTCCCACCCCCACACAGCCCCTGGCCCCACTGCTCTGCCCTCAGCACCCCCAGGCCCTGCCAGATCCCCTGCCAGACTCCCTATCGTGGGCTTCTCAGCTGTAACCAGATGGCCCCTTCTCCATCTGCTGAGCCTGGGGGACTATTTTTAGGTTCCCTGGCAGCAGAGGCACTGCTCACATGGCTGTGGCAGGAGCTGCTTTTATTCCTATTATTCCCTACACCTAGATGAGTCGCCCCACAATCATGCCCCAGTTCCACTACCCTAATGCTGCTCTTGCTCCAATAGCAGCAAAAAACCCTTGCCCTGGGGTCAGCCCCACACAGCCCGCGTTTGTCACCCCCTCAGCAACCCTGCCCCAGAGTGGGCCCAGCCCTCATACAGCAGGAGGAGACCTGTGCCCCCTCCTCATAGGGACTGTCAGTGGCTCTGCATCAAAGGGAGCACGGCAGTGCCAGCCTTGGCAGCTGCTTCTCACAGTGCTGGGGGAGCTTTAATTAATGGCGGGGGGAGAATGAGCTCACTGCCCCACTGAGGACAATGGTGACATTTGGGACATGGTGGGGAAGCACCGATAACCTTTCCTGGGAGACAGCAGGTGTGCATGTGTCAGCATTGGGAGGATGTTTCCCACACTGAATCTAGGCACCCCAGCACTGCCTCTGCCCCGTGGGCATCACAGGCCGTGGGACACTGCCCCAAATTGCCCACAGCCTGAGGTGAGCACACTGCCATCCTCACAGAACTGCTCAATGAAGTGTGGGGAGCAGCACTGCCAATTGGTCGCCATGTCCCCATGCATGATGCCATCCTCATGCAAAGGAGTCCCCGTATGGGCCATGCCCCATCCCTGCACTGCATGGGGCTGGGGGCAGGCGGACAGCACACAGTGGCTCTGTGTGCTCACAGGATTTATGAGCCAGGGCAGAGCTGCCGAGGGCTGGGAGGAAGCCAGGGTGGCTGTGGCCCCACAGCTGTGCCCGGAGCACTGCCAGCTGCATTCCTGGGGCTGTGAGACAAGTGGGAGTGTGTGTGGGCGCAGGGCAAGTGCGTGGTCACCACTGCCTCTGCCTGCCCTGGAAGTCCGCAATCCCAGTGTCTTGGCCCCACTGTGCCCCCCTCCTGCCCTCTCCTTCTTCCTGCACCTCACTGTGAGGCAAACTGAGTGCAAGGAACATACAGCACTGCCTCTGGAAGTGCCAAAGATAGGGTCTGAGAGACTGGACACCACAGCATTGTGCCTGTGCTCCACTTCCCACAGCAGCCGGATTTCCCTTCCTGCAGCAGAGCCAGAGCCTTGCACCAGTGTTAGTCCTTGTGCCTTGCAGCCCCTTGCACAGCCCCTGCCAGCGCTTCTATGGGAAAGCAGAGCGGCCCCCAGCAGGGCATGTCCCCTTACCGTGCCCCCAGGGCTGGCCATCTCCGAGGTCTCCACTGAAGAGGAACCAGCCCCCATGGTCCAGTTAGGGTCTCACTGCCATGAAGTGTGACACAGGCGGTGGCAGGGCTGGTGGCTGGTCTGCTCAGAGTGACAGGCACAAGTGTTTGTCCTCCAGCCCACAGCATGGGCGCTGGATGGGTCATGGGAACAAGTGCAAGAGGAGTGCAGAAGGGACCCCTGGGGCAGAGACACAGTCCCAGGACATCTGACAGGAAAAGGATGCATGTCCTGCTGCCCCCAGCCCTGCTTCCAGGAAGTGGCTCAGTGGCTCTAATGAAGATATCGTGACAGATAGTGGCCCAGCAGCTGGCAGGGAGCCCCTCACTCTCTGACTATACCCGCCAAGGTTCATGGTGAGGCATACTCAGCATCACACCTAGGCACCTTGTGAGTATCCCACAGGCTCCCTCTGCCCCATAGCCCCCACCCCTGGAGCTCCCACTCCCTGGCGCCTTCCGAACATAAGCCCATTGCAATTAGCTGAGCTACCCTGCCCCTAGATCATCCATCATGGGTTAGCTATTTTCTATCAGCATTTTTCTCCAGGCAACCTCTCTGCTCCTCTGACAGCACAGTGCCTCCCTCCTGCTACCGGGCAGTCCTGATAACGGGTGGCTCTATCTTATCGTGCTCCCTGGCAGTTATACATTAGCAGTGCCATCTCTGGGTCTTGGCCCAGGGGAGGTGAGATCAGATCCCAGGATGGCACTGAGCATCCCTGAGCACTGAGCATCCCTGGGCATCAAGTATCCCTGAGCTCTGAGCATCCTTTGGCACGGTGCATCCACAGGCACAACAAATCCAAGGCACAGGCAGGACAAACAGGCTGCAGGCATGAGCTTGGTGTGTGAGGTTTTTGTACAGCCCCATGGCAGACGGCTCCTGATGGGTCTGGGGGGGTGGTCCCTGCCCGGGGCAAAGGGCAGCTGCTATCGCAGCCCACACCAGGCTGTTTGCTCTATTGCCCATTAACTGAGTCACCTTATCCAGCAAGCAGGAGCTGGGGAAAGCATGGAAATGCTGACCAGGTCGGGACATTGATTGCTGCAATGGGAGGGGATGCTCCAGATAACCCCTGCAGACAAATGGGTTTCTAATGGGGTCCTCATCCTGGCACCCCTGGCCTGTCTCCAAGGAGAAGAGGGAATGTGGACTGGGCAGATCTCAAGAAGGCTCTGGTTCTTCCCATGCCCCAGGCACAAGAGAAAGGGCCTGAGTGTCCCCTCCCAGCTCCCTCATTCCATCTCAATGGTGAGCAACTATTTGGGGTGCCCCAGGATGAAGCAGGGTGACACAAACCCAGTTTTGAGGCAAAGGACAGAGTGGAGACTGCAGGTGGCACTGGGCACAAGTGCACCATGTAGCCTTGGGGTGATCCCCATAATCCTACTCCAAGGGAGGCACAGGGGTAGGAACCAGTGTCTCCTGTCCCCCAGGCAGGATGGGGTGTTGGTGAGCAGTGAGGTGCACCGTCCCTTCCCGAGTGCATGACATGAGAGGGATGCAGAGCATCACTGTGCACCCACCCTGCAGTGCAAGGGAGGGAGGGAGGGCGGGAGCACAGCGGGCGGCCTGGCGTGGGGCCGGGGGGCCATGCCGGGGGGGCCAGCAGCCAGAGCAGATTGGCTGCCGGTGATGCCTGCGGGCTCCTTTGAAAGGGCAGCGTGGGAGGTGCTGGAGGAGCAGGCAGCGGCCGTGCGTCCCACTCGGCAGGCACGGCGATGCTGCGGGTGAGCAGCCCCGCGGGCACGGTGACACTGGCACTGCTGGCACTGGCACTGGCACCAGGCAAAGGGCAGCACTACGACTACTATGGCTGGCAGCCGGAGAACGTGCCCCGCGGGCGCTTCTACGGGCGGGAGCCGCAGTGTGTCGACATCCCGGCAGACATGCAGCTGTGCCACGATGTGGGCTACAAGCGCATGCGGCTGCCCAACCTGCTGGAGCACGAGTCCATGGCTGAGGCCAAGCAGCAGGCCAGCAGCTGGGTGCCGCTGCTCGCCAAGCAGTGCCACGCCGACACGCAGCTCTTCCTCTGCTCTCTTTTTGCCCCTGTCTGTCTCGACCGCCCCATCTACCCATGCCGCTCGCTCTGTGAGGTGGTGCGTGATGCCTGTGCGCCCGTCATGGAGTCCTACGGCTTCCCCTGGCCCGAGATGCTGCACTGCGGCAAGTTTCCTTCTGACCACGACCTCTGCATCACCGTGCAGTTTGGGAACAACCAGGCCACCCCTCCACCAGGTAAGTGGTACGAGCACTGCGATGGGTTGGGGTCATGCACACATCCCTGTGCAGCCTGGGGAAAGTGTAGGAGCCCCCATCCCTGCTCCTCCAGCCCTAGGCACCCAGCTGCATGCACAGAGCTGCCCAAGGGCAAGGTGAGTGGGTCGGCAGTGGGGTGCTGGGGGTGAATGCGGGACTGCGGGATTGTCACAGGGCTGTCCCCTTCCTCTCACTACGTGCCATCACAGCCAAGAGCATCCAGCCCTGAGCGCTGCACCTGTGCCTTTCCCACATCCCTGCAGGTCCCCTCGGGCTGGGAAAGGGATGTCATCTGAAGGCAGCCTTGGGTCAGGACCAGGTTGTATCACCTTTCACCCTGCTGCCACCCTCACCCCAAAGCATCAGCAGTCAGGCAGGGTCCCAATTTCCTATTCCTCTTGGGAAGTGGGTGCTGGAACACCTAAACATGTGGTGCTCAATGTCCCTGCAACACCTGGCACAGCTTCCCAGGGACCGAGGGGCTGCTCCCCTGCTGTGTCCCTACCGAGGTGACGCAGGTGACAGCCATCAGTGTCTGGTAACAGTGACTGCTCTTGCCCTGCAGTGCCTAAGATCTGCACCCAGTGCGAGATGGAGCACAAGGCGGATGGCATGATGCAGCAGATGTGCTCCAGTGATTTCGGTGAGTGCTCCCCTAATCCCCTAGCCTCCTAACAGTCCCAGCTGCCCCCAGACCAGACCAGGGAGGTTGGATAAAGGGCTTTCCTATGCAGGGACATCCCGTAGGACAAGCCCCCTTGGATCCTACGCACAGGGGATGGGGTGCACCATGAGAGAAGACATCTTGGGGGGACAGGCAGAACATGTGGGGGGGGTCACTGGGTCCGTACTAACTTCACAGTGGTGAAGATGCGCATCAAGGAGGTGATAGAGGAGAATGGAGAGAGGCGCCTGCTGGCTGCCCAGAAGAAGAAGGTGCTGAAGCTGGGTCCCCTCAAGCGCAAGGACACCAAGAAGATGGTGCTGCACATGAGGAACACGGGCTCCTGCCCCTGTCCCCAGCTCGACAACCTAAGCGGCAGCTTCCTGGTGCTGGGACGCAAGGTGGGCAGCCGCCTGCTGCTCCTTGCCATCTACCCCTGGCAGAAGCACAACAAGGAGATGAAGTTTGCTGTCAAGTTCATGTTTTCCTACCCTTGTCCCCTATACCATCCCCTGCTCTACGGGGCCGGGCAGCACTAGAGCTCTGTCCCAGGACTCCTGCGCTCGCCCTGCTCTGCATCCCCAGTTCTGCACTCAGGCTACGTTCAAGGAAGCCCTGATCTGCACCCAGGACCCCTGCAGCTCGCTGAGCCCCCTACCTGCACGTAAGACCCCTGCTTGACCTCAGCTGCACCCCAGGCCCCAACCCCGTGCCTCCGCCCAGCTCCCATACTCCTGCCCTCTGTGCCCACAGACTGCCCTCCTCAGCTCCCAAAAGTCCCGAGCTGCATGGCCCCAGCTCTCCAGCACCCTGCACCCTGGCCTAACCCTACTAGAGTAAATTATTTTGTCTGAGATAAGCCTGCATCCAGCTCTCTGTGGTTCTTGGGCTCCAAAACCTTGGGGCATCCTGGGGGACACATGGAAGGAGGGCACAGTGCAGCTCAAAAGTCGCTACTCGATACCTGCTTCCAGCACCTGGGAAGTAACGACAGAGGGGTAGGGAAAAAGGGAGAAAGAAATCTGAGGGCTGGGGAATGCATGGAGTGAGGGCGGCACCAACTGCAGCAGGGTGCAGAGCTGGACATCACACCTCTCAGCCCTAGGTCCCAGGAGTTCCTGCCCTGCAGCATGGAAGTGAAGCAGCCCCAAGTTGGCTTCTAGGGGCACAGCAGGGTCCCCCTCAGCCTTGTTTACCTAGCATATTTTTGAGTCTGCTGCATTACAGAGCATCCTGGCAGGATATCCAGACACCAGGATATTTACTCAGCACCAGGTGGCCTCACACTACAGCTTCTCAGGGGAAGGTGAGGGGAATTGAAGCTGTAGGACACCCTATGCCTGGCTTTTCCCATTGCACTGCCCCACCAGCAAGGCAACAGGCACGTCCCCCAAGCAGGAATGAGATCTGTTCCTGTTGTACTGCAGGGCAGGCCATAGCAAGCACCGATGCTGACAGTGGGATGTGCTCCTGTCCCACAGCCAGCACAGGAGGGGGGCAGCAAGCCCCTATGATGGCCTGGGGCAGGTGGTTCCTGCCCCCTCCCTTCTCCACAGCCAGCATGGAAAAAAACTGAAAATTCAAATAGCGGTAGAAGGCATTTTCCAACGAGGCTGCTAAGCAGACTGCCATTGGAATAAACACCATCAATTATACCATTTACTGCACAACTCGAAGTACACAAATAAAACCCCACCTCCCACAGCTTGTGTTTATCTGTAGCCCTCTGTATTCTGCGTCATTAGCATCTTTCTGAGGAGCACTTAGACGTACACGGACATTGCATCCATCTCACCAAGTGTTTTGTCAAGAAAGACGAGTAACTTCTCCCTGTCACCCACCACGAGCTGAAATAACCTCCTGCCCCTCTGCACACTGCCTCCCCCACTACAGCGCCTTTGGAGCACACCCAGCACAATGTGGGTATGCCCATCACTGCAGAGTTCAGCTTTCCCCAAAATCTCCCAAGGGCAGAGCTCACTCAAGAGGCGGGTCCAGGGGCCCACAGCCATGAGGTCTCAGATTTGTGGGGAGCACTGAGACCTGTCCCCCCATCCAGATCATGCCTAGAGCAGTGGGTGACCCAGCC